ATAAACCACTTTTCGAGCTTCTACCGGGAGGGGTGCCCCGTTCCACACTGAGATTAAGGGATGACACGTGTATGTATGCATGTATGTAGATAAGCATGTATGTATGTATGCATGCATGTATGTATGCTTCTATGCATGTATCTGCACATCCACCTGCATACCACTCTATGTAGCGACAGCTGCCTGCCTACCTACCTACCTGGCTAAGCTCTTGGCTAACCACCTGCCTACCGACCGACCTATGTATCTGTCTATCCGACTGTCCATCTATCTACCTATGTGCCTATGTGCCTACCTACCTCTACCTATCTAACTATACACGTATCTACCTGGCTACATATCTGCTTACCTACCGGTCTATATCCATCCTAATTTTAATTACGGATGTATGCAAGTCGGACATCACGCTCTGAAGTGTCACCTACGGGTTGATGCTCGGTACGATCCTACTTATTTCTACACTCGCAAAGTCTCTAGGTCCTCAACTCAACCCTCCTGGCCGCGCTTGCGCATGCAATCCCGCAATCCCAATCCGAAAGTTGTAGAACGCACCACAAAAAGCTCCAAACAACTACAAAACCTGCCGGTATGACAAACTTCTGCATCGGGTTGCCTTAAACCTCGAGTGAACCGGCCGGAGGCGTCGGTGCTGCATGTAGGATCTGAAAACGAAAACCTGAACTACGAGCGGCTTGCAGTCGAAACCTCAGAAGGAGACAGAGCGAAGGCCAAGCAACTTCCAGCGGACTGCAGGTTTTCCCAATTCACAAAACCTAGCACCCGAGGGTCCTCAGCCCCTATGATGGCAAGATCCTATAATTCCCCAAATCAGAGCTAAGCAGACATCCCGAAAGCTCATGACATCAAACAGGGTTCCCCTAAGATGGTCCCTCGGGATCATTCCGTACAGGCCCATGTACTGCAACGTTTGCGGCTTGAAGGTGTGCTTGTGGACCCTTCTACTGTAAACCTGTAAACTAGGATCCCTAAATCCCCCAACCCTAAACCTGAACCCCCAGAACAGCACCCTTAAACCCTAAATCCAACAACCACCAAACCCCAAACTCCCCTAAACCCTAAACCCCCCCAATCCCTCAAACCTGAAACGCAGAAGATCGCTCTCCAGCCTTGCTGTGCTTTGGGTTCTGCAGGCTTCGTCGGCCTGGGGAAGCCGAAGCCCGTGGTTCTTAAAGTCTATAGAATCTATACCCAGAGGCCCCAAAGTAGTTCCTTTTTGGGATGAACCTATAGGATTCTAAGAATGAACCCACAAAAGGAACTACTATGGAGCCTTAGGGTAGGGTCTATACCAGGAGCCCCCAAGGTCCCTTTAATAGAGTCCTTACAACCCTTAATAGTGGGTATTTGGGGGTATATTAGAGGGTTCTTGGGGTCTATAGGGTCTGTAGGGCCTAACTATGGGGTTTAGGGTTTAGTGTCTATAAACGTCTATAGGGTCTCTATAGGGCCTAATTATGGGGATTCGGGTTTAGGGTTTATGGGGTTTAGGGTTTAGTGTCTCTGGAGGCTATGGGGTTTAGAGTTTAGGGCTCAGTGTCTATAGGGTTTAAGGTTGAGGGGTTTAGTCTTACAGTTTCATTTGAAGTGTAAATAGGGGTGTTGGAGCAAGTTGAAGGACCAGGGCTTCTTCCAGGGGGTGGGTCTTAGGGTTCAGGGTTTGGGTGGTTTGGGGTTAGATAGGGTTTATAACTCTAGGAGTTTGCGGGTGGAGCAGCTCCCATGGGGCAAGGGCCTTGCATTGCTAGGGCTGTAGGACTGTCGGGTTTTGAGGCTCACGGCTTAGAAGTCTTTAGCGCTTTGGGTTTCGTCGTTCATTTTGTATGGAGCGTCTAGCGCTTGGGAGCCGTTTCTGAGAAGACAAATATGGAGCTTCGCCACGCTTTTAGACCTCAAAGCCCCAGAAGAACGCCGAGAGCCCTACGCCGCTTAATGCAGTAACATACCCGTAACTATATAGAAGATTTGGATTATTGAAAGGCATTGGGATGTCGGTGCGAAGCAGAAGCCTAAAATCTGATACTCGCTTGGTCACTACTTTACGAATACTTTGCCGGCATTGTTGTCAACATAGAACCACATCAACCCTGGAACACTTGAAGTCCATGATGCCTGAGATGTTGAGGATGCGACGAGGCCGGCCCTACTCCGTCATGCGGTGACCTGCATTCGCTACACGGCCATTGGTTTTGGCTCAGGGTTCAATTCAAGGCGGAGGGCTTGCAGCTTCGGGTCTAGAGTTCTGCCTTTTTCAGGCCGTAATTAGGGTGTGATTAGCGATAACATAAGTGTGTGTGTATGTAGAGATATATATATATATGTATATATGTAGTATGATGTATGTATGTATGTCTGTATGCATGTAGGTAGGTATGTATATATGTATGAATGTCTGTTCATATATGCGAGGCACCACATAGTAGGAGGGTCACATGTTGCTCCGAGTGTTGAGGAAGAGTAGATACCACTAAACCCATAAACCCTAAACCCTAAACCCCAAACCCCTGAACCCCTAAACCCCTAAACCGTAAAGCCCCCTAAACCCTAAACCCCTGAGCCCCCAAACCGTAAAACCCCCTAAACCTCCAAACCCTTAAACCCCTAAACCCAACCCCCCTAGACCGAACCTTCTTCTGGTATATTAGCCCCTGTATTTTAACGTTAAGAAACCATGTTTTTTAACGTTAAAAAACATGGACCGAACCTTCTTCTGGTATATTAGCCCCTGTAAAGGCTCCTCTGAAGCCTTGAAGAGCCCCTGACTTGGGATCGGAGAACTTCAAGTGGGGTTGTGCTCCACAAAGCATTTTAGATACAACAACAGATATGAGAGTGAGAGAGAGAGAGAGAGAAAGAGAGAGAGAGAGAGAGAGAGAGAGAGAGAGACAGAGAGAGACAGAGACAAAGCCAGAGCAAGAGGGAGAGAGAGAGAGAGAGCGCGCGAAAGAGAGAGAGAGAGAGAGAGACAAAATAGATAGATAGATAGAAAGAGCGAGAGTAGACAATAGACTAAACAGGGACAGAACGAGAGGGGCAGAAAGAAGGTATCCCAGAGTATACCTTACGTCCTAGCTATGTCCATCCTGTACTCCCCAAGTTGGTCCATTGGTCCACCGTCCCAGCGCAACAGAGCTTCGATGCGCTCACCTTAGCCTTAGCTGCTGCATATCAGATAGTAACTTAACTTAACTTAATCAGTTATCAGAATAAAGAGCCATACTATGTACTATAGATCCCCATTCTGGAAACGTTAATGACAAGCCCCGAACCCCCCAGTCCCCAAACCCGAAAACCTGAACCTTACTTGCAAACCTCCGATCTTAGTTGCTGAGTTCATAGGCCCCAAAAGTGTACACTTTCAGTTTACAGTGGGTAATAGTATCCCCAAAAGTGTAAAGTGTATCCACTCAGCTACCAAGGAATGGCTGCTAAACTCTAGTGCTTACATCGAAAGGAACCTGGTGGACCCCCTAAAGAAAATATGCCTGAAGCCACATAGCCGACAACAACACCCTATCCTGCTACCACATCCTGAAAGCTTTGCATCCCCTGAAGCCTTGAAGTTACTCTAAGCCCTAAACCCGAAATACCCCCCTAAACAAATCCCAAACAACACAAGAGAGGCAACCACGCCTGGGGCAAAGCTCCTCAGCTGTGCGGTTCAACGGGTCCCTTGGCAGCCTCAGCTGTGAGGCTTAGGGATTCCATGCATGTAGGGCTCAAGGGTTTGGCAATGCCGGGGTGCACTCCTTAGGCGGGACTATTGAAAAGTGAAATTACACGATCATGTTCCCACGGTCTGGCTGCCCCAAGTTACTTACTTACTGTAGAGGCACCCTCAATTGCAGAGGTCTTCGTCTAGTCCTCAAAGACTGAGACTTGAAATGCCCAAGCCCTAAACTGCACGGGCCATTGACGCAGATAGCGAAAACCCCCATGTAAACAGATAGCCTGAAGCTATTAGTCTAAAGACGGAAGGCTGAACCCGTGCAAAATGCACCCTATATGAGAGTTTCCGAAAATAGGGTACCCTAAATAGTATGATCCTTGCTATAAAAGCGCCCAAAATCAGCCCTCATGTTCGGAAACTCCATCTCTCTACCAGAACACTGAGCCCTGTGCAATGGAGTCCTTTCGGAAGCTGCCATTCTCTCTACCAGCTCGCGCTTTCCAGGAAACCGTGCAATTCTCCGCGATGCTTTGCTTCTCGCGATCTCTCGGGCTCTACACGACAGAGTAAAGGAGATGTAGAGAGACAACAGACACAGGGATTTACTTCTTGGGTGTGAGAGTTTGGGGCTGAGGGTCTGGGGAAAACACCCGTCTGATTCTCTGCCGAAGCCATGGAGCAACTACTGGTCTATGTCAAGCCGCGTCTGGGCCAAGGCATGTCATGCGACCAAGCCGTCATGAAACAAGCGCAAAGGACCGAGGCACAGCTCTGCAAAGAGACCGAGAGGGCGGCAGCCGAGCGAAGAAAAGTGCAAAAAGACAGCGCATGGCATACAGTTACAGGGAGGGAGAGAGATATAGAGAGAGTAGAGAGAGATGCAGGAACCCTCGAACGGGACAAGCGGCATAGAGGAGAGGAGCCTCACATCTCGTTTTGCTACAGTAGGGGTTCGGAGCCCACAAAGTCGAAACCCTACGGCCTGGACTCTACCTTAACCCCGAATAACACACCTTTTTAAGGACTCATATAAGGAAATCATAATAAGGAACCCTAAAAGAACTAAAAAGGTAGGTTCTTTAGGGTCCAGGTAGACCCTCCTCGACTCCCTACACTAAGCCGTGTGACACCCTACCCACATGGACAACTCCTACAATTCTTCAGCTCCAAACCCCATAAGCCCGAAATCCGTTAAGCCCTACCCGGACCATGAAGAACCTGCCTTTTTTAAGAACTTTAAATTACCGGAGGAAACCATAATAAGGAGCCCTGAAGAATCTGAAGTTTGTCTAGAAGCCCTAAACCCCGGCGCCTGTCCAGAAGCAAACCGCAGCGGCGTCGCTGTCCGACGGGGAGACGAAGGCAACTCGGAGTGGAGTGTCCCTCTAGCAAAGAGGAAGAGTATCAGCATTCTGCTAAGTGCTTTCAGCAGCAATATAGGCACCTTAACAAATTAGAATCGGGTTGTGGGCTGTGCTAGTTAAAGCATAACTATACTCAGGATAAGGAATAGTATGGGTAATTATCCAGACTTCTACAATATCTCCACGGCGACCACCGCTACATGCTACCACCATGGCCACCGCCACGACCGGTACCCCTTCACCCGCTTCTGTTTCCACTATTCCACTGCTGCCGCCCTGCTACTACGAGGACCACATACCACTATCAGCTGTCACCACTCCTCTACATAAGAACGACTCCGAAACAACACAACTTACTAGTATAGATATAACAACATAACAATACAACAACATAAATGCAACAACATAGCAATGTGCATTGTATGTATATATCTATATGTGTGTGTGTGACAACACACATGTATGCATATATATATATATATATAAAAAAATAAATTTATTTACATCGGCTGTAACGCATCGAAAAACAACTAAACAAATATTCGTCACATGCAAGCCCCCGGACCTATGCAAACTCAGAAAGCTCAGGTCTCTGCTGCCCGGGCTTGCATCAGCCTCAGGCTGACAGTCTTAGGGTTCAAGGTTCAGGGTTTAGGGTTTAGGGTGTAGGGTTTCGTCTCAAAACTGATGTCAAGGTTCTGGCTTTGGGCTTTTTGGGGGCTTTTGTTTTCAGGTTTATGTCTAGGGGCTTTGGGCTGAGGGTGCAGGCCACAGGCTTTAAAGTTCGGGCCTGAAGGCATTGACCGCCCTCTACCTTGTGTCTTCTCGGCTGAGCATCATCGAATCACTTGAGTGGTAACCCCCTGGGCCCCGATCTGCCCGAACACATACAGAGCACCAGAGAAGATGTCATCATGCTGTAATAAACATATCTCCGGGAGCTTGTGAGTAAACCCTAAACCCTAAGCACTTAGTCTCAAGCCTCTGCTTAAGGGTGACGGATCTATGATCCACGCGCTTGAACCAGTTGATTCGGTCTAAGGATCTCGGCGGCCGTAGAACCTTACAGATTCTTCATGTAACTACTCTATAGTATACCAAAAGCCTGTTCTAGTCAGTAAGGCCGCTATATAAATAAAGAATATATATATATATATATATATATATATATATATGTTAATGTTAATATTAATATTAAGATTAAAATTAAGATTAAGATTAAGATTAATATTCATATTAATATTCATGTTAATATTAATATTAATGTTCATATTAATACTAATATTAATATAATTGGGGAAGCTACGTAACCTTCAAACACGAGGTCCTAGAGTGTAGGGAGATCTGCCGGAGACAACCCCTCAGGTCAGGCGGCCATCTTCGCTTTGCTCTGAACCCTACCTATAGTCTCCATTGTAGTTCCTTTTCTTGGTTGATTAACCAATTTTATATTAAGGATCCTAAAAGGTAACTCCCAAAAAGGAACTACAATGGAGACTATAGGTAAATTTGGCACCCAGAAAAGGACCTAAGCACACCTAAAAGGCTGGGGTATCCCATGATTAATCTTTTTTTCAATTAAGATACAAGATCGGGGCGTACCATCCCAAAGTTTATGTTGGGGTGCTTCTTTGGCTCCTGATAAACCCTTGAATCACTAGACCCAACACGCTTAAACTCCTCAACGCTAGAACCCCAGAACCTCGAAAACCTTAAACCGTAAAACCCTGCAACCATCAAACCTCCGAACTCTAAACTCCTGTCAACATGAACCCTGAAAGCCCTAAATCCTGAACACTGAAACCCTGACCTGTGAACCCCCCAAACTCTGCAGCCATGACACCAAGCCGGCAGTTGCGCAGGTAAGGTCTGCCTGCTTTTTTGGTGACTCTGCATACGAAAACCCTGGAATTCTTAAACCGCAGGGGTGTAAGGAAAGTTTAGGGCTTGGGGTGTCGGGGCTTGGGCTTAATTCAACTTGACCCTCACATGATTAACTTCTGGTTCTACAGGGTGCGGTGGTGTCGCACCTTCAGCTCAGCCCCCCCACCCAAAGCAAAATGGACAGCAGCAATGCAGCGGGCGATGACCGATTATACCGGAGACATGGTGTGCCAGAGACCGAAAGCTGGCAAGCTGTCGGCTCCCACCGCGGGCCGCAAAATTGGTGTAGGGTCTAGAACCAAACTGCCAGCTTCTGTGAGTCGACGCTGGCAGGTGAGCTGAACAAATGTTCTTTTATGTTCTTGATCGCGCCCTTGACCAAAGACATTTGCAGAACGGGCAGTACCCTGGAATCAGCCATGCCAGATTGACAGCAGACAGGTACTTGCCGTCACGCAAGGCAGCTGTTCTCGAAGGGCTGCACAAAGCATTGGGCAAGCGGAGTCAGGCCTAAACCATACCCTACTTGACCCACCTAACCCCTTCAAAAGGCCTAACCCCCACAGGAATATGGACCTCTTATACACTACTTAACCCACCTAACCCCTTGAAAAGGCCTAAACCCCACAGGAATATGGACCTCTTGCAAGGCACTTTCAGAACCTTCCTAGAACTCAAAGCTTCTGGAGTTGTGAGGTTGGGGGGAAAAGCTACGGTGCCATGCTACTTGGAGGATCATGGGACTTAGTAAGTAAGGTTATAAGTACCCTAAGTGGGGTTATAAGTATAGTTATAGTACCCTAATAATAACTCTACTTACTAAGTCCCGTGATCCTTCAAGTAGATCCTCAAACCCCTCTTAAAACAAAGCCCCCATAGATCCCCCTTAAAAGGAGCCCTTTAAGGAACCCTAGTTACTAAGTCCCGTGATCCTTTAAGTAGACATTAGAAACCCATCGGGCTCCGCTCCACTGCTGCCGGCTGCAGCTGAGGGCTTAGGGTTTAGGGTTTAGGGGTTTAGGGTTTAGGGAGCAGTGCGCTGCTAGACGGGTTTTGCAAGCTGTAGCGGCGGGCTTCGGTTCCTGCATTTAGGGTGGTTGGGATGGCTTTTTGGGAGCTAGGTTGAGGGTTTCGGCGTTTGTGGTCAAGGTTTCAGATTTAATATGTTTCCGAGTACGGCTGTTAGTACCAGTAAGGGATCCCATAATGAAAACACAGAGCCCTAAGGAACACTATTGGTACTTGCCGTCCTTCGGTTAATGATACAAATCCTGCATTACCCTAAGGACCCTAAACTATGAGAATTATGGTATATTCCTTTTCATGGGTAATGCCGGATTTGTATCATCAACCGTGCTGTGCCTTGTGACCAGAAGCCTGCCAGGAGGCGGGCTGGCATGACGAGCGAAGAGTGTCTGCCTGCACAAGGCATGGTTTAGACCCAGCCATGAAGACCCCAAAAACCTCAAACCCTGAACGCTCTATCTTAAACCCAAACCCTAATTAGCACTTAAGAAGCCTCAAATTCGAAACAACCTAGGTTAAACACCAAACCTTAACCATAAAGCACTCAAAAACAAAAGACAAGTGTGCGCGGGACTCTGGATGCTGACAAAGTGCCCCAAGCGCTTGAGTCTTTCATATACTCCATGATGTAGGTAGGGACAGTAACAGTTGGAAAAGGGTTTTGGGGTCTGTTGTACTGTAATGAATTTAATGAATTATTTCAAGGAGCCCCAAGGAATAATATTGCCCCTATATTGAAGGCTTTCGCACAGCCCACGACTGACGGAATTACCTCTTCCTGCGTTCATGGGCTGATGCTTCTGGCAGGCAGGCTTTGGCAACACTCCTGTACCGCATGGTGAACGTCTTGGAGTGTGCATCGGAAAACTACCTGTAGTCTCCATTGTAGTCCTTTTTTTGGTTTAACCAAATATATAATTAGGATCCTATAAGGTAACCCCAAAAAGGGAACTACAATGGAGACTATAGGTACCCTCTCAAACCGTCACACCCAAACTCCTATCACGTGACCTTCGACCCCAAGTCTTTGCTCCTACATCCGAAACCCTAGCTGCAAACCTCTAAGCCCAGATCCTAAGCCATGAAGAGTATGGACCCCCAACCCTACAGGCCTTCCTACGCCCTAAACCCTAAACCCTAAAGCCCTAAAACCCTAAGCCGCTAAGCCCTAAATCCCTAAACCCTAAAACCCTAAACCCTAAACCCTAAGTCCCTAAACCCTAAAACCCTGTAAATCCCTAAACCCTAAACCCTAAATCCCTAAACCCTAAAACCTAAACCCTATAAATCCCCAAACCCTAAACCCGAAACCCTAAAAACTCCCAAAGGCCCTGAGAAATGTGCCTTGGAAGAATCGGGGCCGACTTCGGCGCGAATGCCAAGGACTGCACGGACATGTGGGTTCCCTCCTAGAGCCTACGAAAACACCATGTTGGGTTCGGGATGTATGAGCCGGGTGTGTTGTAAAGGGACTATAGGGTGAAATACTTAAGCTAAGTGAGGTCTGTTTATAGCTCGACTTCTATGGGGGTCTGTAGGGCTTGAACCCTTCAGCTCTCAACAAAGGTGCATAGGCTTTATAATTAAATGCCTTCGAAAAGAGGTTTCTCGGATTTGCAAACTAGGCTAAAGGTCTTAATCCCGTGATTTCATGAGTTGTTCTGTTGAGGTTACTCTGTCGCACACAACTTATTGGCTGCTTCTATAATAAAGACCAACTTACGATCTCTGCCAGATATATGGCTGCAGGTAGGTTCCAGTATCGAAACTTGACTTCCGACTTCTGCTACGTCCAACGAACTACACTAAAGCTTCGAAACATTATGGCATCGTTATGGCCTATCAGCAGCACTATGCAAGCAACAAGAGCTTGCAACACGTCAACAGTAACAAACAGTCGAACCATAGGAGCCGGGAACATATGAGCCCCACCCATGGTAGGAGTTCGTGATCAAAAGATGCAGAGCCTGCTGTGTAACAGGGTTGGCAACAAAAACGGCGTCGGATCTTGACATTCCTTCTAGCTTAATTAATAGTAATAAGAATAATAAGAAAAAATCATACTATACTACTACGATACTATGTAACAATATACTAAGACTATAACGATACTATAGCAATCATACCATGTTCGCCAGCCTTGCCGGGAACTTGCGGGAATGACCTCGGCTCAACCATGTTGAAGCTTCGTCGTTTCAGGTTCAGGAACTAGGGCTTGGGGTTTAGGGTTTACCTTAACCCTGATAACTTACCTTTTAAAGGACTTATATAAGGAAACCATAACAAGGAACCCTAAAAAGGTAGGCTCTTTAGGGTCCAGGTAGGGTTTAGGGCCTAGGGGCGAAGATCGAATACATGATAAGCAAAGACCACTGCTGTTGCAAACGCAAGGACAAACCTACTTTAGCGTATTTTACCAGGATCCCGAGCATTCTGCAGAACAGAGAAGGGAGCTTGTTACGGCTTTGGCCGAGCAGCACTTCGGCAAAGAAAAGTCACCAGTCTCGATTCAGTGTAGGATGAAGAACCTAAAACCACAAGTCCCAGCCTAAACCCCCAAAAATAAAATCCTAAACCATGTAGCAACTCTGGGTTTGGAATCAGCTGCCTCGAAAGCCGCTAATCCTTTTCTCGTAGAGCGAAGCCCGCAGTGAGCTGGAGTTCGTAACCACGAGCCACCTCATCACATTGCCAGAAGAACCAACAAAACGTGCCTGTCGAGCCCCGACACTCCTGAAAGCTGCAGCCTAATATTGGGGCCTTCATAAATTCAATAGGGTTGTGGGGCCCATTCTACAGTAAGTGTAACGACGAAGCCTCAAAATAACAGTATGGCAATTGTCTAAGCCCCCTATACTTGGCGGATCTTGGGACTTAGTATGTAAGCATGTAAGTACCATAATTGGGGTTATAAGTATAGTTACCCAAATAACAGCCCTAGTTACTAAATCTCATGATCCGTTACGTATCAGGCTGTCTTCCTGAGGTACGGACGGGGGAGGAGGCGCCGCGAGGACAGGCTGCACGAAGTGGGGCATGGGGCGCTGCTGACAAGGGCAAGCAGCAGGGATCACCTGGAGTCATAGGGACCATCGCACCGTCAGCACACTCAGCATCCTGTTTCATCTTACGTGTGCTCATGAATACTTGTTGTCGTCGTTATCGTGAGTATCTCCCCTCGCTAGTACGCACGGTAGAACGACAAGCAAACTGGCAACAACCACCTTAACTACCCTATACTAGTAGTTACTGGTAACAATACTGTGAAGATTCCAAAAGCAACACTATAATATAACCATGCTAACTCGGATAACTGCCCAATCCTGTTGTACCACTACAGTATGCATACTGTACCAATACCATAATAATACTGTACTAGTACTAGACTATGTAAGAAGATACCAATACTATAACAACACTATAGTAATGAAACTATGTAGCGAGAGCGTGCCGCGAGCCTGGGCTGGCATTCCTGGCGGCCTGACCATTGGCTTCGGCTGCAGCTGTCGAACCGCCTGGAGGTTTCGGGCTTTAGGGTTAAGGGGGTTAGGGTTTAAGGTTCAAGGTTTCGGGGTTTAGGGTTAAGGCTTTGGGTTTTGGGCCTTTAGGGTTGAGGGCTTAGGGAAGGCTGGTTTGAGCAAGGTGCCGTGCATTGTGCGAACAAGGTGATTGGTTGTACATTTTGCATTGGCAATCAATGCACACTTTTGGACACTGTATGTGAGCAGACAGATTAGCGTATTGCTAGTTATTGGGGCTCCTATCCTTGCACGCAAACTCTATTGCCTGGGGGTGGGGCGCGAGCTTTTAGCAGGGTGTAGGTGTAAGGGTTATGATTCGTTAAGCAGGATTGCATCTGTATTCCCCGAGCTCTCTCACAAACGCCTATAAGCGCTGCATCTTCATCCTCGCCCCTTTCAGAGAAGCAGATCCGGCTGCCCACGTGGGCTTGCAAGGCCTTGGAGTCTCCGTCATGATGTAGTCTGCCTGTTGGTTTTTGAGGAGCCGCACAAGCAGTCTTGTCGAACTTGAACATAAGCAAATCTGCTGCATCGCAGATGCCGATGCCTTGAGACAGTCCAGGGTCTTTATTAAGGTCCACTCGCTCGGGTTGCTGCAGCTAATGCCCCAATCTCTCGGCCACCATGTGCAGCTTGCTCATCCGGCTTCCGCCTCCTTGCATCATCTGGAGATGCCCCTGATGCCCTTACTGATGCTGGCAGCAGCATCAGCAACCGCCTGGGCCAAGCCTTGCAGCAGAGACTGGTAGTTAGTTAGGACCTTGAGGTTGCAGGGGTTGCAGTTCTATGTGTGGTATGCGAGGGCTCTACTTGGGTGGACCCTTAAATACCCAAGAAGGCCCGAAACGCCCTTGACCTGGTCTTGGAGGAACAACAGTATTACGGTTTAGGGTGGAGCGTTTAGTGTTTTTCGGGTTGTAGGATTTTTTAGTGCAATAACCCTTTCTCCATATGGTTTCAAGGTTTAGGCTGTAGGGCTTAGCACTATCATTCGGATTTTGCGCTTCCGGGACTCCTGTGACTATTTTTCAGCCCCCTGCAGTATTCTTCAACCCACGCACCCTGGAGGTGCAGAAAGGTCGATGATTTGAATTATCGGCTAAAGCCTTGCATGCAGTAAGCCCCAGAGCCTCCAAAACCCCTTAATTAAGGAATATACCTTAAAGTATAACAGGATCCCCAATATAATTTAAGGTAATTAGGGGGTTTTGGAGGCTCTGGGTAAGCCTAAGCCCAAACCCCGGGTTTAGAGGACAGTCGTCACTGCGCTGGTTGCCCTGAGTGTCCATGTGCCCAAACAGTATATGCTTTGGCCTTGAAGTAGTCCCTATATAGGTACTTGGGGGCCGAAGTGTATACTATTTGGTACATGGAACCTTTGGATTACTGCTGTTCGGATTCAGCCATGAAGGCTAAAGTAGCTTAGACTCAAGACAGACTATTTGGAAACCGTCCATTCTGCACATCCCCAGCAATGCCTGCGGTGCAAAGATTGTTGGTGGCTCCTCGGAGATTCATTTTCCGTACGAGGTGCGGCTCATGACACAATGCCCTCAGGCCCTCAGTGCTAAGCCTCAGACCCTCAAACCTTAATTGGGGTTATAAGTAGTTATAAGTATAGTTACCCTAATAATCACCCGAGTTACTAAGACCCTAAAAGCTGAGGTCCAAAAGATCCAAAGCCATGCCTTTTCTGGCTCTGCTTGCCCCTCCTAAACTCAACACAAGACGGCGTGTTGAAGCGTAGGTTGAGGGCTAGTGGCCTAGAAATCTCTTGGACACTCCAGCTCCTATATCTTTGATCTTTGAGCAATTATTACCCTAAACCTATCTACCCTAAACCGTACTCTGAACACTACAAACCTAAATCATAGACAGCCCTATCAAGAAGGCCTTCAGTCTCACAGGAGGCAGACCAGCAAGTGGCCATAATATCACCATTAGGAGGGTTCCTGTAAGTTCTTTTTAAGCGGTTCTCTCAAGGGATCGAAAAGGTTTCTGTAGCATAGGGGTCATAGCTGTGAGAGTGGGGTTTCGAAGCAACTCTAATTCAAGTAAACACGGACTACAAAGGGATAAGGGATATTTGTATACATACCTTAACCCACCAGAACCTACCGTTGTTGCAGGGTCCCGATAAATTCCTTATTCGGTTTTATAATAATAAAAACCTACAGAAATGTAGGGTTTGGTAGGCTAAGGTAATCAAAGGGTAAAAGGAGGGACCCCTAATAAGGACCCCTAGGTATATACCCATAATATAGCCATTATATACCCAATATATAGCCCATTATAGGGTAGGGGTCCCATTAAGGGTCCCTCCTTTTCCCTTTTGAGGTAACCCCCCGGAGGAGCCCTAAGCATCTCGCCATCTCGCGCGAAGTCTGTCCGGAGCCCTAAGAGCACCAAGCCCGAGCCCGTCAAACCTGAACCCCCTTGCGTCTGGCAGTTTAGGGTTGAGGGTCTTAGGGTTTAGGGTTTAGGGTTGAGGGTCTTGGGGTCTTAGGGTTTAGGGTTTCGGGTCTTAGGGTTTAGGGTTGAGGGTCTTAGGGTTGAGGGTCTTAGGGTTTAGGGTTTAGGGTCTTAATTAGGGTTTAGGGTCTTAGGGTTTAGGGGCTAGGGTTTCCCAGAGACTCCACTATCCCTTAATTCAGGAACATATTCTTGACATATAGTAGGGGTCCCTAATATGATCTAGCTAAGTTAGATCCCTTCATTAAGGGATAATGGAGTCTGTGGGTTTAGAGTAGTTCAGGTTGGGTTTAGGGTCGATGCATTTGAACTACAACTTATGCATGGAGGGTTCAGGATCTAGCATTATCCGAGGCTTAAATGCCGGTGCAAGGCCGTCCGAAGAGTTTCAGGAGAGTTTAGAACAAGGGGGTACCGTTTTTAGGGTACATATTTACGTAAGAAGGGCCCCGAACTATCATGGTCCCTTTCAAGACGGTCTGGCATGATCCTTCTTGCTTTGAGCGAAAAGACCGACCTGACTTGGACACTCCTGCATTATGGGTGCTCTTCGGCGGACATCCGGGGACCGCAGATTTTGAAGCAGTGTGGAAGCACATCCTACACAATGGAACCCTGAACACCAAATCTATATGCACCCTGAGATATCGCAGCCTAAACCCTAATATAGGAGGCTTAATACTCAGAACAGTAATAAGGAGCTCCCCCCAAATAGTATAGGTAATTATCTAGGCCCCCATAGTAAGTATAGCAACCGCTAAACCCCGAAGGTGCCTTCACCTCCTGCGTGCGAGCTAGGAGTGTCAGCTGCCGACGCCAGCCAAATCTGGGTTGCAGCAGACGGAGGGTCTCGTGCTTAAGGTCCTGTCTTCAGCTACCCCAAAAGCTCAAGATCTCTAAACTCCTAAACCCTAAAGCCCGAAATGCTTTACAACCAATCCCAAAGACCTCTTATAGCCCTCACGGAAGCTCGTGCTTAAGAACTTAGTTGGGGGCCTCAAAAGGTGGGACGAAGGTAGGTAGGATTAAGGATCCCTTTAAAAAGGACTCTTATTATTTTGGGATTAACCCACCCGCCATCATCCCACCTCGTGAGGCCGCTGACTTAAGAGCTTGCGAAACCCTGAGCCGCAAACAAGACATCGGGGTGCCAGTCGCTGAATCTCTCTCTTCTACACAGCAGTATAAGTATAAGAGTGAGAAACAAGCAACTGTAACACAGCAGCAAGAGGAAATGACTGGCATAGAAAAACGATGACGGTAGTCCTGCAGTTGTGAGAGTAAGTCGGGCATTACCAGACATGTTCGTGATACTAGAATGTAGTAGCAACCAGTATTTGTGGACATGTCCGTCGTAATGACAAACAGGGCTTAGTGTCGTCAATACTCGGGCATATAGCAACGGCAGACCCTGGCCGTGGGAACTACACCAAGCAAAACGTCATTCGACAAGACAACCCCAAACCCCACACTATAATCATACTGAAACAACGAGCATGTCACAGCGTATGGAAAAGAAACGACTAGGACGAGTGACACTCTAACTTAATAACTCCCTTAATCCTCAACCCTGATTCTTTCGCCCCTTGAGCCGTAAACAGCGCACCCTCAACCCAAGAAGCTCTGTTGCAGAACCTTTCAACACCATGTCCTGACTTCTCAAACCCCGTGAAAACCTAAACCCTAGACCCTACATCCGGAAACGCTGCGTTAGCCGAGCTTCTTCGAAATGCCGAGGACTTCTAAGTCCTGCACGCCGTTCATTTCTTGGTTCTTGATAAGGAATTATAAAATGTAAGTTACCACAATAAGGGTTCTGTAGTAAATAATCAATTAAAAATTAGGGATCTACAGTACATAATGTGCTCTTTCGGTAGTATGGCAACTTAAACTAAAACCTTTAGCCAGAACCCAGGCGTATCAGCCTTGAAGATACTTCCACCACGAGTATCGCTGCTGGTAGTGGTCGTGATAGTGACCCAAGCCCCGAGCCTCGCAATGAGGTGCTAGTGCAGATGACCACGATGTTTCTGAACCTGAAAAAGATGGTGATGTTGACAATGATGGTACTGACTCACTGACCATGGCGATACAAACAGACGACCCGATTACGTTGTTGTTGATGATGACGACGATAACGATGATGATGACGATGTTGTTTGAGGAAGGTAGGCGTGCCATGCCCTTTTCATCGTCTTACCTCAGGCACTTGGGGCTCCGAAGCCAAGCCCCAGAGTCCAAAATGGCGGAAGCGCGATTGGCATCCCAGAAAACGCACACACGAATCGCGGACCAAACCATGCGCGGGACTGCTCTGAAGCGACACGCAAGGAATCCAAAGAGGCGTGCGAGTTTGCAAGAACAGCTGATGGAAATTCAAGTCATACCAAACCGCTTTACACTGAAAGCCACACCACCTTAGTGCTGCGACACTCCTTGCACAACGAGGAGTTATCGCGTATAAGTACGGCATAGAACGGCTACAGCAGATCCCTTGGACAAAGCAAACTGGCTGTCCACCCTAGCGTACTCTTACGTTGCCTTATCCTACCCTAGCTTCCTTTACCCTAATTATGCTACTATGCTACACTACAGGACAAAACAGGGCAGTACACTACAGAACGATGCATCGTATCACGTTGTGCACTAATAGAATACTTTGGATGACCCCAAACCCGAACCCTAAGCCGCACACTCCCGGAACCCGCACTCTAAAACGATACGTCTCCCCAGAATTTGGCGAGTCCTGCTCAGTGAGGGAACTGAGCACAAGGCCGTTGACTGCCTCTTGGAAGGAATTGATGAGGGTGTTATATGGGAGTTTCCGAAAATAGGGGACCCTAAAATAGCACCCTAAATAGTAGGATCCTTATTATAAGGGACCCCAAAATAAGGTACCCCTGTTTTCGAAACCCCCATTTTGGGGCCTTCGAATTTAGTACAGGGTGTTGAAGTATATTAAACTATGATTAGTATAAGGAGTCCCCAAGATAGTACTGGTTCTGGTTCTGGTGCGGACAGTAGAGCTCATGCGTACGAGCGCGTCCCAAAACTGCACATTGCTTGCACCTAATTAAAGTTCGGGAGTCCGGCGCAGAAATCCACGATCCTTACACGTGGTGTGCACTCGGACATGTGCTGATGCAAGAAAAGCTGGGGCTGTTCAGCGCTTGCACCTAAAGCCAACTCCATGTCCTACCTCAGATCCCCAGCGCAGTGCTTCACAAGCGCTTTCAGGGGAACAACACCATTTACATGGCCATGAAACCCATCAAACGGAAAAGATCTTCCTGCGATGCGGGTCCCTAGCAGGCCATCCTTCTCCGTGGGACCCTCACACTAGGCCACCTTGAAAGTGCAGTGACAGCGTATGCACAAAAGGGGCCTAGCGCAAACGAAAAAGCTGTCCACGTCAGTAGCACTATACAAAAATGGACTTCGAAACCATGTACACGCACACACCGGCGATCCTTTTCAGGTATTCCGGATTTGATAACGAAAGCGCTGTAGCAATTCTCATTTGACAGCATTGCATACATTACGGGAAAATGCAGTACACAATCCCGCTCAACAAAGACCACCCGCTGCAACCAGCCGCATTTGAGCGCTGATGCTAGCGCGAGCAATCAAGACATGAGTTGTCTTGAGATGGGAAAGCTGCGTTCCGCAGCATGCCCCGTTCTCTGCACACAGCCCACAACCCTAGGAACTAAACAGCAGCCAAGAGATAGAACCGGCGCCCAAAGGCAAAAAACCGTCTCTTGCCTGGACAATCCAAAGCGCACTGCAGCAACTTCAGTTCTGGAGTGCACAAACATCACAAATTACAGTGCCGCAGCAGTACAACTACTCAGGGGGCAATCAGCTCAACAGTTTTCCCACTGGTACTCTTTGGTTCTACTCGGCAACAGCTTTGTCAGCCTCCTTCACGGTCTCGTAGACACAAGGGAGGTACCTGTCGTCGAAGGAGTCGATGGCCTCGGATTTGTAGAGCTTCTTTGTGGTACCGGCAGCGCTTAAACTCACCATCGGCCTTGGCGGGGATCTTGTCCAAGTCGGCCGGCATCTCCCTGCCGAAAGGCGAAGCTGGGGTGTTGTAGTACTTCGACGAAATCTGAAGATCTCCTGGACGACGTCCACCTTCGCCTTGCCGGCCACATCCCGCCAGGGGCGGAAGAAGACCTTCAGGTCCTGCTGGTCGTCGTCGCGAGTGGTTTGGTCGGCATCGTTGTTGTAGCCATCCTTCGCGTTGTCGAAGAACTTCTGAAGCGCCTTGGCAAGGACTAGATAATCTCCTCTGGAATGTCCTGGCTGAACTCGTCGCTCTCGCGGAACTTCCTGTCGACGTGGCGTGCCCGCACTTCCCATCTGGGCCATGGCATTTGGGCACTGGGGCCTCGAGATTCCTGACTACTGGCGACTCGGGCCCTCAAGATAGTACTGGCAATTATCTAGCCCCCTATGATACAGGGTTTAGGGCAAGGTTTAAAGTTTAGGAATTGCTTTCGGCATATCGGGTTTATAGGGCTTAGGGCAGGGTTTGGAGTTTAGTTCCGTTTGGACATCGGTTTCGAAACGTCACACGAAGGCGCAGATAGACCAGGAGGGCATATGCAAGCAGGAGGAAAATCGCGGGGAGTTCTGAGATTTCGGTATTCGGGTTTTGAGGACCTGGGCGCTTGAGTCGCGGGATTTGGGCTTCAAGTGCTGGATACTTGAGAGTACAAACCCTACCTATAGTCTCCATTGTAGTTCCTACTTTTGGTCTAACCAATTACATATTAAGGATCCTACAAGGTAACCCCAAAAACGGAACTACAATGGAGACTATAGGTCAACCCCAAACCCCTCAACCCCAAACCCTATACCGCCTTCAGGGTGTTTTTGGCTGAAGGCTGAAGACTGGCAGCAGTCTGCCTCCCTCAGCCTAATCCGTAAGGGTCCATGTACCCATATAGAGATACATGGGCCCTAATGTACCTATATAGGGACTACATTAACGCCAATGTATATACTATATAAGTACATGGACCCTTAGGGAATCCTAAACAAAAACTCGTCTTCACAATCCTAAACCTTCCTGAAAACGGGTGTGGGGCTTATGGGACAGGCAGTTCTGGAAACCTACACCCCGCACCTAAACCACCAGCCCCTACATAATTAACTATAGTCCCCATTGTAGTTCCTTTTTTGGTTTAACCAATTTTTATATTAAGGATCCTACAAGGTAACCCCAACAAGGAACTACAATGGAGATTATAGGTAGTATCCGTCAGGGTGACCTGTATAGAGTCTTTGAAGAAGGCCTTCCCAAACACCAAACCCTCCAACCCACACCCTCAACCCTGAGCCCTCAGTTCGAAAACTCTGAAACACTGAAACCCTAAACCCCTAAACCCTGAAACCCGAAACCCTAAGCCCTCAATTCAAAAACCCTTTACGCAGGAGAGACCGAGATCTAGCCTGGGCTCGCAGAAGCTCCGCAATTTCGGAAGGAAAGCCGGCTACCTCGGGGCCAGAAGCACTCACTTTAGGGTTTAGGGTTTTAGGGCTTGTAGGGATTAGGGTTTAAGCTTTTAGGGCTTGTAGGGATTGGGGTTTAGGGTTTTGGGACTTGTGGAATTTAGGGTTTGCAGGGCTTCAGGTGGAAGTCCAGGGTCGTTCTGGGTGCTCTGGATCTCGGGTGCTGGAGTTCAGGGTTTAGGGCTTAGGGGATAGAAGATCGAACGTGAATAGAAGGTTTAGGGGTGTAGGGTTTAGGAAGAAGATCGAGGCTGATACTGCTCCTTCCGCACTGGGGTTTGGGCTTTTTTTTGGTTTTAAGCTCCTTGTCCCTCCGCAACATCCGGGGTTTAGGGTTTAGGATCTTGGCTGCGGAGTTTTAGAAGGATCGCTCAGGACAGCTTGAATGCCTGCACATCAGCCACCTGTACAAACCCCGAAGTATGTCTGCAACCCTGAACCCCTAAATAAACCGCAAACCTTGTAAACCCAACCTTGCATTGAACCCTAAATCCCTGACCTGAAATACCGCCCCTCTCGAACCTTATTGTATACCTATAGTCTCCAAAGTAGTTCCTTTAGGATCCTTAAAAAAAATTGGTTAAACCAAAAAAGGAACTGCAATGGATACCTTAGGTAAACCTATAAAAAAAACCCTCCCAAAAGATCTGGGGCCTCCTGTGCCCACTGCGCCACATCCTCCACGCTCCACGCGCTGAGTGGACGTACGGCGCGCTGGGGACTCGGGTCCTCGAGGTGGTTTAGGGGTTAGGGTCAGAGTCTCAATTCGGGTTTAGGGTTTTAAGGGTCAGAGTCTAACTTAGGGTTTAGGGTTTAGGGTCAGAGTCTAAAGGCTTCAGGTATGGGGCTCTTTTGGGGAACGATGCATTTGGACTCACGTGTTCGAAATCCACTGGATCATTCCATCTTCATATATATATATATACACACACATACATTTGTACATACATACACACCTACATATATATATATATATATATATATACACATATATGTGTATATACATATATACACACATACATACATATACATACACATGCAAGTAAACCCCAAGCCTGAGTGCTTGGAGCCGAAGCCCTCAGGTACAAGCCAAAGCTTAAAGTTGGGATAGACTAACCAGATCCCCTAAGCCCTAAGCTGCAACAAAAACACTCCTAAGCCCTAAACCACATAAGAAACCACTGAACTTCCTAGGTCCTAGACCCCAAGCCCTAAGCCGCCACCTGGCCCGAACTGAACCCCGGAAGCGTGCACTCAAGACCCAGAACTCCAGGGTCCAAAACAGCTCTCACAGGCAAAGGTCAAGCAAAGCATACATCGACCCGCGAAGCCCATGCTCCTTAACTGAGGAATGTGCCCTAAATAAGCAGGGAGCCTGACTCTTCGAGTTTGAAGTGTGTCTCTTGAACAGTGATCGAGTATTGGACCCTGCAAAAAGGGTGTTTGGTCAGATTTAGTAAGGTGTCGGCAAGCATATTCCAATACAAGTACTATCCTTCTGTCGACATGCTTGGGTGAAGAAACCCCGAAGCCACACGGTGGACAAGTGAACCGATGAGCTTCCTTCCCAGACCTGAACGTGCAATTTCGGAGGCCTATATTTCCCCTCTCCAAATGAGTTGGCTCCCTAAATATGAACCCCAAGCCCTGATGCCCGAGTTCCTAAAGTTCCTAAGACCCTTGCTTGGAGGTTCATGGGTAGTTAGAAGAACGGTAAGAAGTCCACCAATATGGGTTAACTATACTTACCGTACTTATAACCCCACTTATGACTACCCTAAAACCCTATAAACCCTATGACCTTAAACCCGATTCCCTTAAAGGAACCCTAAACCCTAAACCCTAATCCCTTAAAGGAACCATACTTGTGAACCGCCAAGGGTACGGCAAGAGACCCGGCGAGTCCTCTCTCCGCGGTGGGCGGCTGAGACTCCGGCCTGGACCCATCCAGGCCGATATACAAAGAGATCTCAACCAATGTGTGAGTATATACACCCATGTATGTATGTGTATGTATGTATATGTATATATGTATATTCTATTATACATGTATATATATATATACAGATATGTACATCATACAGATAGAGACATAGGTATACACAAAGACTTTTATATACATACCTCATATTCGGTGCATATGTTAAGATTCGAGAGGGCTGAATGTTGTGCTTTCAGGTGTATTCCTTAATGTAGGGCAATGTAGGGGTATTGGGCTCTCTCAAGCAGGCAAGGTTTTGGTAGAGCTTTTACCAATGTTCATAGGATTTTGGATCCCCTGTGGTTAGGGGAATTTGCCTTACGCCTTGAGTTATAGAAAGGGTGTTGCTAACATTTACGGGCTGCTCTTTCGATCCGAGGTGCTTGGCTTCGCTCGTTCGGACACTATAAACACTTATAGACAACCGGATAGCTCAAGTTGTCGTTTGCATACCGTATGAAGCTGAACCCTGACAGGCAACAAGCTCCAAAGTAGGTTCAACACTTGCGTCAGGCGGGTTTCATGCCTGTTGAGTATAATGTCCTTGGATTTTGAGGTAGCTGCATGGGTTTAGGTTCTAAAGCACAGTCACTTGTGTGACTGTTGTTCTGGAACATGAGCTTGCCGCGGCAGACCGAGTGCGTTGTCTCAGGTCTGGATATGGTTTAACGCCCGAGACTCAAATCTGCCTTCAGCTACTAATGAACGACCGAACTACACAAGCATTTCGGTCAATGGTCTAATTCAGAACACTCAGACCCTAAATCCCTGCATCGCAACTCCTCGGCCGACACCTCAGTAGCCCAGTGCTGGCTCAACCCAAAAGCCCAAAGCCCTGCCCAGAGCCTCCAAAACCCCTTAATTAAGGAATATACCTTAAATTATATTGGGGATCCTGTTATACTTTAAGGTATATTCCTTAATTAAGGGGTGTTGGGGTCTCTGGGTGAAGCCCTGCACACGAAACACTAAAGACTTGAGGCCCCCCAGTGTCAGCACCTTGATAGTGCAGTGTTGAAAGCTTTAGGCAAAAACCCTGAACTGCAGAAAGCCTAAAGTAAGCCTGGAACCCTATCAGGACACCACAAAAGTACCCTTAATCGCTGCTCAAACTACTTTGATAACGGAGGGAGGATCACGACGTCTGAGCTGCCGGTCGTCTAATTGCCCAAAACCCTTAATCTCAAAACCCGAAACCCCAAAGAGCAGTACTAAATGCCGAAACCTTGGCCCTACACCCCTAAACGCCTGGCCCTAACCCTAAACCTCTAAGCCGCAAAACCCCAAACCCCTACGCCACAAAAAGCCTGAATCTTGAAACCCTGAACCATTCTAAAACCCAGAAGTCCTCTAAACCCCCGACAGTAGAAGCCAGAAAGTTGGAACATCAATACCCTCATGGCCTTAAAGGTAAAGTATAGGGGATCCCAGCACCAATCATCCTAAATCCATGTTCCAACTTTCTGGGGTTCAATATACCCAGAGGGTCCATATACATTACCATTGTGGAATTAGGTCCCAAAAGACCATCCCCATTATGGCTTCGGGGACCTAGTTCCATAATAGCAGTGTATATGGACCCTCTTGGATAATTTACTGAACTTAGAACCCTAGCAAAAATTATAATTTTAGCTGCTTCTTAGGCATTAGAATAAATCATTTCTAAGTACCCCTAGGAGAATTGAACCCTGAACCCTATTAACTCACGTGGCCTTCCCGTCCTCGGGGCGAGGGTGCGTCCTTGTCCCCGGCCTCGCGACCTCCGCCCACAGTCGGGGCGTGGGGTTTAGGGTTTAGGAGGGGCAGGGGACTTAGTAAGGGCTCCTTTAAGGGATCTATGGGGTTCCTTAAAGGGATCTATGGAGTTTAGGGT